CTTTTCCATACTACAAAAACATCAAATATCACATATATGCGTCGTTTAATAATTCAGTGGATAAAAAAATTAATATCTAAAAAATATTTTATCAATATTCCTTATACTTGTATTATGTACACGCCGTGCTGTATTAGATTTTATATCAAAGTCACACACACACGTGCGTGCGCGCACACATGTACACACGCATTATATTGTTGTATGCGAACAAAGATAAGAACACATTATTTTTTTCATTATTGAATGAATTGTTAAAATATATTCTTTTATCATCTATCTATGGCATGTATGATTTAATTCAATCTCCGGGCATATCTAAAAAACATTCTTCTATGTGATCACCAATCGAAGTATCATTTGGAGATCATATTCAACTGTGATTTACGACATCACAAATGTAATTATACAATATTATCTTTTATTCGTTACTCAGTAAACACCAATTAACAGTAATATTACGTCATAATTTTTTAACGATGTACCTGTACTCTCCATATTATACTGATGTTGGTGAGTAATAAATTAAAACTTATTAAAAATTATAAATAAAGTAATCAATTATTAATAATTTTACTGTTACTTAGTGTTTATTAGACACCTATTAAAAAAATTGCTCGATATTGTTACCTTCCTTTGAAAAAGAAATTCGTTACTATTATTTTTATTAAAAAGTAACGAGTCGTTGAGCATATTTCTCGTTTCTTGTTATGTTTTCGTCAATTTTCGGGAACTATTCATTAACAAATTTTTGCCTCAGGTCTTTTGGAACATTTGGTAATTGCTATAATGCGGTGTATGAAAAACACAGTGAGAGAAAATCTCTTGCAATTCTAAGATAACGATTATATATTTGTTACCATTATCTACTAATATGTAATTGCATTACTATTACTAAAAAAAAAGGATAACTAGTGCGATGGTATATTCCCCAAATTTGAACGACATAACAAATAACCGAAGATTGAAATCGTTTAACAAGAATCATATGTAAATAAGGTAAAAGGTATCAAGGTCTGGACACTAATAACACTAGCATCTAACTCTGAAGGCCCTTATTGCTTTCATCTTTTTAAATACGAATATATTAATACGAATATATTTAAACTTTCAATATATCTAAGCGCGCACGTGTGTGTGTGTTGAATACATATACTCAAATATTTAAATATATTCATATTTAAATATTCATATTTAAGAAGCAAAACAATAAGAATGTCCAGGTTATATATTAATGTCATTAGTGTCCAGACATTGATATTTTTGCCTTACTAGGCATATCTTTCCGTCGTCGTAAGCCTTAGGCAACCTTCTCCTTTCGTTGCTCAATGAAATTCTGCACAAACGGCAATTTGTACACACGCAAGGAGGCGATAGATCCGATACACGCTCCGACCCAATATACTATCACATGCTCGACAAAGGTAGTGCCCAGGCAACCGCATTTTAACGAAGTCGCCAGTGCAGGATTGAAGTAACCGCCGGAATAATCGAAGGCTGAAATGTGCACGGTACTTAATCGAGGCGTCGACAATAAGAAACGGTACTTTTAATATTGCTAAAAATAATCGAAGTGTTCGCCGACCTGCAACCACTAGAGACGTCCCCACGAAGGCATCAATGGCTGTGCTGAATCTCGGATTTAGGTCACCCAACACGCGTGATACCACCCTACATATGCACGTCGCGACGCATTCTATAAATGCTCCGATTATAACGGGTACCTAGAAATTATCGTATTAATCGAATCAACAGTCGCTTTAGGCCGTGTTTACGATAAAACAAGCACAATAATTCCTGACATTCAGGGGATAATATTGTTCAAAATGATAACATTTCCGTGCAATATTTTTCTCATTTTAATAAAACTATCCAAAAACAGCAAAAAATTCTAAAAGATATCTCAAATATGTATGGAAGACGGCTAAAAAAAATAGGATCTTTTGTAAATCTTTTGAACATCTTTAAGATATATTTTAGAAGTTGGTGCTGTCTGGATAACTATAATCTAACTAAACTAATTTAATAAAACTAACTAATAATTAATTTTAAAACTCCTGAATATTTTGCTCAATCAATTACTTAATATGACAAAAACAAAAAAAAATTTTAATTTAAAATCTTAAGTTGTTAATTAACGTAATATTTGTTTAACCCAAAAGTTCCACAGCTTGTATGTATTGAAAGCGTAGATATTCTAAACAGAAAAATTTTGAAGAACATCTGTACTTTCGCATCTGAATTCAGAAGTTTAAAAATATCCGAAAGGTTTGTAGCAAGATTTCTATATACACACATGTCTGGTTAGATTTTTCGCTGAATATGGTAAAACAAAGCAACACACATTTACGTAAGTTCTGTGTACAAGAAATACAAGAAGGAAAGTGTGATTGTGTTAGTGACGATCGTGCTCTGCGTTATCGACATTGTTCGAGTTCGTCGTCGACTTGAGCATCGCCTTGATAACGCCAGCGTTCTGTATGAAATTAATTGAATTGTCATCGGATCTCGCAGCATGTATCCGAAAAGTGAGCTTAGCCTTGCCTGCAAATCCGTGGTGCAGTCTCCGAACGCTCGGTTCTTATGCGTAGAGACGATCTCAAATGCCCAGAGCGCCTGAATGTACCTAAATACGGCGATACCGCCGATCATTTCCGCCCATATCAAGAGAAAAGCGGTACGCAACGACTTGTTACCCAGAAACACGTCTTCGAGATGCGTATAGGGACACGCCGACGCGTCGTCCCAAGTCATCGACCAGTAAACCGTCAGCACAAATAGATAAATAGCGTACATCGACACTCCCCAATTGTCCGCAACTAAGAAGGTAAAAAATATTTAGCGTTTCTTATTTAAAGAAACAGATGTTTTGCATGATCAAACGATACAAACTATTATTATTAGTGTAACGTAAAACAGTACGAGAACAAAATTTAATTGAGTAATGAGCAGTCGCACGCATAAAAATAAATAATAAATAAGGCACGATATAAAAAAAATTGGATCTTTGAATTGTGATACAGTTGCAATCGCAATGCGTACGAACTTTATCGTTAATCGTATGTTTGCGTGTGTGTATCAATTTACAGACTATTAAATTAGTCGTACAATGTCGAGCGTATTAATACGAGGGGAACGCTAATTGCGGAAAATCGACTTACTTATAATGAGTTCGAAGCATGCTCCGCAGAGTTCCGCCGTAGCGATCGCCTCTAAGAACAAAGATCTCACGAGAGGTTGTTCGATGAAATATGTCGTGTACCGTCTCAGCCAGTGTGCTAGCCATACCGTGAATACAATATACAACGTAGACACTGTCAGGGCGACTATCGTTGCAGGCATTATCCTATTAAGTCACATATGTACTGTTTAACCAAGGGCGATGCGTCGTGTAACATACGAGAGTGGCGAACGCGCCACTTAATTAAGGTATCGATCGATAATCGATGTGTTCAGTAATAAAATGTCACACAATTAAATAATATTACATAATTAAATAATTACATAAATAAACGAACATCTTCCCAGTAAACCAAGCAGACAGTAATATCACATTAATATTGTAATATCCCATTTAACGATGTAATTGTTACAAACATGTTTTATCGCACATTTACGTCGTTGAAGGGAGAATTATAACATTGATGTAACCTTTCCGTTATTTGAATTTTGGTAGGTTGTCATATCGTTTCACCACGACTAACGATGCCCGTTAATAATATTGATTATTTAACGTAATTTATCGTAATCGGTTATGTATTTAATAATACAGCGAGACAAGGGCGTTATGTAACTAATTCCCTAATTCTACAGAATTTTTTTTTTTACAGTATATTTCTCAGAGTGTAATGTCGGAATACAATAGTAGGTACTCACACGAAGGGAGCGAAAGAGAGAGTATCACACTAATGATGTCATTCTTTTTCTGCCGATAGGATGTCTCGCCGATGTCTCGGTTTTCGTAAATACCTCGCCTCGTTTTGACATAGAGAGTAGGGCTTCGCTTAGCGGTTATTTAAAACTGCCGAGTGCTGAATACATCTGTACGAATATAACGAGCGGCTTTAAATAGCCGCTCATCGAATCACTTCGGACGGCAGAATCAGTATAACAATGTGTGTTCATTGGTCGGAGTGAGAAATTTAAAAAGCACGATCGAAAAACTTGCAGTGAGATAAGATCGCGCGCAGAACAGACCAATCGGATTCAATTTGAAGATGCATTTTCGTAAATACAGTTCATTTCAGAGATACAATCGATTGGATTTTCGTGGAGAACCGCGTGTTTCCTGCGCAATGCACCAGTGACGTTCAGACGCCGCATGAATATGCGTCTGACGTAATTGAATACTAATATTTTACTTTGCATCAGTCACACAGGAAACACACTTCACAGGCTTGACAACAGTACCAAATCACTCGTTATACAAAATACATATAAACTTCAATTAAAAAGCGTCAGATATACAATCAGGAATTATGTTTGTAGTTTTATTTACTTTATGAAGTATTAACTACATTTCCTATTACATGGTAAATGAATTATCTATGCGGATATACATTAATCTTATCACTGTAGAAAAAGAAAATAACATTTATTTACAGGAATTAAAAGGTTCCCCTTTATGCTTCTTAGCAGCTTGAGGATCGTCCGAAGTCTGCGTTCTTAACATTAACCTGGGAATTCTTTTAGATTTAAGGTAGGACATTGTTTCACTTGATGATCTGAAAATTGATAAAATGTTCGATACATTAGCCGTGATAAATATATTCAAATGTATGAGAAAATATGAATGAAATTATATAGCTCTTAGTCGTATTGCATTCTGGCTGACATGGGAATGTATTTCTTTCTGGAGAAGGTCAAAGTATCCACAGAGGAACAGACAAAGGCCACGAGGAAATAAGATCGGATTAGTAGCATGGTTGTAATTTGTGATATCGCGGACGATAACTTTCGTTGATTATAAAAATACAAAAGATCACGTTGTATATACCTCGTAGTCTTCGGCTCGGTCAATATTTCTGTTGGATTACTGTCAGTCGAATTGGAACTTATACACGGAGAATAAGGAATGATCTGGAAAGTTCTATTAACTACTTCATTACTCGATTCAGTACTTTCTGCCACTACCGACATGCTAATATGTGTGTCCGCGTCAGCCGTAGGCTTTCTCTTATTTTCAAGCTCCGATTTCGTAACCTTCACGTCTATCTGATTTTCACTCTTCGGTTTCAGTTTGCCGTCTTGCGTAGGAAAATTCACGCTAGGCAAATGTATAGTTCTATCTCCTTTGGTGGCGTTCATCAACTTAATTAGTAGTTTCGATAGCTCTTCCCTTTTTCTTGTCACGACAATTTCTTCGAACCACGTTTTTAAAATCTTAATTGGTAAGATATAATTTTTAATTGGATTCTGAAAACAGAATATGATCGAAGCTATTAGTCAAGCTAATAACTTGTATTGATAATAAAAAAAAAGAAAAATTTCCAACATTTTCTAAACTCAAGATATTGTACTAACCTGAAAGAAACTTTCCACGTATTGCAGTACGTACAAGCCGCAATCAGTGAAATTCGATTGTTGGGGTACTTTGGGGCATGCACCCTTAATGGTATCTTTTGAAAAGATTTGTTCTCCTCCAAGTTTGGCAACGTATTCGCAGCTTAAGTAGTCTCTTAGTGTAGCAACCACTCGTGCCCTACTAGCACCAGCGAGCGAATCGAATATCAATATACAGGGACTACAAATCAAATTGAATTAGATTAAATTAAATCTCAACTTACTCAAATATTGAGCGTGCAATAAATTGCATTTAGATTACATAATGTGCATAACTCTTACACTTTAATTGTTTCTTCTACAACATCCGGTTCCACTTTAATCGACTGAATCATATCTTGTATAGGCTGATCAACCTCTTCCTATAAATAAAATAATAAAATAAAAAAAAAGAAAAAAAAAACAATCGATTGTTTCAAATATCTTGATACAGTCTATATTTATCTAAAAACAGAAAAGAATAAAATTTATTTTGTACTGTACTTCTTCCTCGCTATCTATTTCCATTTCTTCATCATCGCCCTCAGCCTCGTCTCTCTCCGATCCGTCATCCGGTTGATCTATCGTTATAGTCGCAGGTACAGGTGTTATTGTTGTACAGCCAATCGTAACAGCTTTCGTTTTCACCTCCTTCATTTTTTTGTTCTTTTGCGGAGTTTTAACATCGTTTTCACTGACACTCGGGGCAGACATGTCAACTTTCCCAACTAGTCCAGGAAAGCAAATAATAGCTAAGAACCAATGCGCACTGCAAACATCATATTGTCATATAAAACTGCATCTCGGTGGCGCATATATATATATATATATATATATATATATATATATATATATATATATTATTGGATATTCAGAGTCACTTACTGCTCGTTGATAGGAATTATAATAAAATCCTTCTCGAATATATTAACATTCTTCGTCCATTTCTGTACTCTTGCGTGTCGCTTGGCAGCAGGTGTCATTGGTGTAGTATTTTCGGCAGCTTGGGCATGTGGGCTGGTTAAACGTTTATAAAAGTACGAACTGAACACATGAGTCCTATGTTGATCAGATTCTGACAGTATCTCGAAAGTCAAATACTTTAAATAAAAATCTATAATCACATCGTTTAAAAACTGATCCTCAGCGAGGCACAAGTAATCTTCAGTGTTGATGGCTATACCGCCTTTTGCAGGTGGCGGTGGATACACAGTTATTCTGTAAAAGTGGAAAGTTTTTGCTTTAAAATACATTTCAACAAAGCAGATTCGAATAATGTGAAATAATAAAAAGCACGTAGATGCCAAATAAGTAAAAATTGATCAGTGAGGAAAAATTTCTTACGTTTGTATGCTACCATTGTCACTGACAACATTTAGCAACGAACTTTGGCTCTGTCGTCGCATAATACTAGTAATCTGTTGGTTCTTCGAATAAAAGAATATATAAATATAAATATTACGTATATGTTGTAATAGACAATGATTTAAAATGCTTAATCGAATCGAACACATACATCCTTAGGTGATGCTCGCAGAAGAATATCATTTGCTTCTTTAGGATTCAACTCCTCCATCTTGCCCCTAGGTGAGAATATATTTTTTAACTTGATTTTCGAGTCATTCGTTAACTCCTCTGGCAATAACGTTATACGTTTGTGAGTGTGATCTAGAAGATAATGAAATTATAAAATATTCACTGTGTTTCTTGTTTACTAAAATGATCATTGCGTTTGTAACTCTTTGAGTGCAAAATAGCGTAAAATTGTGCGTGATCAGTTGACAATATCAAGCCCTGAGCGACTTATAATACATATACAATGCAATCTGTATGCGATCGCAGCACTCAAATAGTCGATCAACGCGTACACGTTTATCACTTAAATATATCACTTAAAACTGACAAAGAGAATAAGTAAATAATACTATTAAAGATATTTCTTAAAAGAATTCATCGTATTCATGTATGGAATAAATACCTCTTCCGGCAGGATCGTAATATGGGCCCTTCGGATCTTGCATTCCCAATAATTCACGTATCATGGCTCCCGTACTCGTAGACGTATAGAAAAATAATACCGGCATTGTTTTCCCAAAATGAATCAGCACCTTAATTATCTGATTATATTCCACATTAAACGTAACAAAATTTTGATCTGAAAGATAATGAAAATATTTTGAGGGATTTGGTAATTTTTTCTCAGCAGGCAGTGAATGCAAAACCGATCTACCGTCTTCTAATAAAGGTACTCCAAATTTTACACCATTTCGGGATATTACTACCCTTTCCCGTGGAATATATTTATAAGATCCTATTCTGACAGTTCGACATTGTAGAGCAGTGAGTGGGAATGGCGCCTTATCTATAAATTTGTGATTATTACATTCTCCTGAAATTCGATCTTGTTATTAAATTTATGTTATTTTACGTGTATCAATCGTAAATCACGTATAATTTTTACGAAATGTCCTTACTACTTTCTTCGCTATTCATATCATCATCGCAACATGACGGGTTAAAAACAGAAGTATTTGTAATAATGGGTTCTTTGTCTAAAATGGTATCTACGTCTTCGTCAAAAACGTTGCTTGCATTGCCGAGCATTGCATTGCTATTGGTGCCAATCTTTTTAGTTTTGCCCTCTTCTTCCTCATCAGATGATATTGTTAAACATTCTAAACATTAATAGCACATTATCGTCAATGTTGCAACACAACTATATTCTACACACCAATAATAAATAATAAACAATACATTATCGTACCTGGCTCTTTATTAATAACCTTTGGTTTTGAAGCTGCAGCTTTACCCTTTCCTTTGGTGCGCTTGCATGTAGAACCGTCTCGTTCTATTCTTTCCAATTTAGTAGTATTTCGTTCGTTGTTCTTTTTGTAGAACATCTGTAAAGACATTATATAATCGAAATGTACGTTTATAACATTTGTCACAAGAGATTGATGAAAGAAATTGGTACTAGGAATTAAAATATATGGCACATTAAGATGACCGCAAGCCGCTTTCAATACGACCTGAAAATGACATGGCAACGTTGTAAAGACATTCTTTAATTTTACAATTAAATCTTTTCTATGTTTCGAGAAATGTTTCTTAGTAACTATGCTGAAATAAGAATGCTTTCACTTTATTTTATTATTATATGAGATGCTGTATTAACATACAGATCTTAAAATAAACAATAAATTATAAGTAAATGTTGTTGATAATTTCATGGGCAATTAATTATGTAGGTAAACATTTATGCCACATGATATGATGCACAATATCGGTCTTCTAGCATCTCAGTCATAAACCTTACATCGACAGGCAGCCCGGTCAGCTTCCATCCTTCTTTAGGTATCGACTTGATTTTCTTAGTAAATTTTGTATTACATCGTTCACATCGGTGGAAGTAAAGCGAACTGTAGCCACAGTGTGGACACAAAGCAAGTAGTCCCTTGACCAAAATAGGTTCCTAATAATAATATGAAATACTATTCGTACTAGTCATACAATTTGCTTTGAAGGAGGTGACTTTTATGTATTCTCGACCGCAGCAATGTGACACTACCAAAACTGAGTCAGCATCGTATACACTATATACGTACGTGTGTACTATTAACTATTTCATATCACACATACACAAACACATTCGCATTTAATTATTCATAATATATACGTTACAGCTAGCTTCTATAAAAAACGTGGACGTTTCACGCTTTGACGAGTGTACCACAAATTACCTATATAGCCAAGCTTCAAAAAGAGTCATATAAAATAATACATATTCTATATAATCTCAAATGTCATAGCAACTCAGATTCTACAAATAAATAAAAATATATTTTAAATAGATTCAAATTGTAAATTGGTTAATAAAAGCCTTAAGTTCTTATTGGCTAGTTTATAATTGGGAAAATATATTTATAATTATATATTTATATTAATAACATTTATTAATTAAACTGATATATATTTACTTATTATTCAGAAGTTTATATATTTTGTAAAAAAAATATATATACATATATAGATACATAAAATATATGCACATATCATAAATAATAATCAGTAATTATTTCCTTTTCTCAATCAGTTCATATTTTTGTTATGGTATGTTTTTATTGTGGTTATTATGAAGTTTATTACTTTATAAAGATAAATTATAAAAGTAAATATAACATTACAGTGTCTTGAGTGATGAATTTAGCCGATAAATTGAAGTTCTAAAAATTGGCCAGAATTTACTGGCCGGAGCTCCATTATTATAAATTTTATATTTTTATATAAATAAAAAAAATTATTATAAATTTTTATAAATTATTATAAATTATAAATTATTATAAATTTTTATATTTTCCGAGCTCTGGTTAATCAAGCTGGCGGAATCAAGAATTGCATAAACATTTTATGAATTGGCTACGCTTTGAGGTTTGTAACATAATATAAAATGTAAAATGTGCTTTGTAACGTATATAAAATGAAATATGGTAATATCATTATTATTTAAAGAAAGAAAATTGACATAATATAAAAAAATCGTTCCATTAAATTATAAATTATATTATCATTTTTTGTACAATGTAATATATCATCTACTTTAAGAAACATATATACATATACATATATTTATATATGTACATAAGTATGTGTGTTTATATATATTTATAATGTGGTAAAATCTTTTAATAATAAAATATTAGTTCTAAATTATAAAAAAATTAAAAGAAATTAAGAAACAGAATCTTCTAAAATAATTTGTAAGATAAGAAAAATAAGATTTTATTATAACAATTTTTACGTCAATATCCTTTAATTTAATATTTATTATAATAGAATCTAAAAGCTTACCTCATTAATTGGTAACGAAGGATTACTGTTCTCGTCTGAGACACTAAAATATAATTAATTATCAATTTAACATCCTTCATCAGAAAGAAATGACATAATTTGATAATAAACAACTTTTTGATATAAAACAAATATAGGACAATTCAAACATCTTACTTTGTATTTTTGAATGAATTTTCAGAATCCGTAGTGGAGCTTACAACCTCTTGAGTAGAGTTACAATCTACATGATCATTGCTATCATGCGATGTGTCATATGTTCCATAACCAGCTTCAACTATATAATTTATACCCAGTGTTGGATCATCTACCAAAGAGACAGATGTCTCGCCAGAAAATGTAATTTTCACCTAAAAATATTCAATATATAAAAAAGTGATTATATATATGTAGTAAAATATCACTCTATTTTTTTTTACAAATGTTTTTTCCTAAATGTTTTTGAAAATGATCTTAGAATGTTTGAATAAAGTTCAGAAAAGTACTTAACTCCGATTTTTTTTAAACTCAGTATTCCTACGTATATTGACACGCTGATTACGAATATCATAGTGAAAATTGTCGACTACTTAATTTTCATGGTAAAAACCCATACAAATTATGGGTTAATTTTTTACGTTTATCTTAGTAAATATGGAAAATCATGATAAATGTTTTAAACAAAAGTTTTAGATCTCACTGAGTTAAACATTTTAAGTCTTATACATTTTCACTATACGAATGATAGTTTTCGAGGAAATCGAGTATAAAGACCATAACAGCGTTGTTACGGTCTTTATACTCGATTTCTGCGAATCCCTTCTACGGGTAATTTCGCCACGTAGACAGTATATTTCAGAAACAAAATGAAGGAAAAGAAAACACAGAAGACACAGAAAAGAAATAAAGGAAAGAGGAATTACAGTTATGAAGGAAATCTAACAACTTTTTTTTAAGAATATTTTTAACATTTTTAACATTTTGCAACACGGGAAAAATATCGAACAACTAGCGGGGGGCTGTGCCCCCCGCACCCCCGCTAAAAACTAATCTAACCTTACCTATCGTCACATTAGCTGTCGGTCATTGTTTATTAAAAAGTTATTAAGAAAAAAAGTTAAACGCTTTTTAACCGCAACGACGATAAATGTTAACGCTGTTACTGTCTTTATACTCCATTTCCTCGAAAACTATTATTCGGTGAAAATATATACAACCTGAAATGTTTATCTCTGTAAGATCTAAAGCTTTTGTCTAAAACATTTATCATGATTTTTCGTATTTACTGAGATAAACGTAAAAAATTATAATTTTTATGGGTTTTTCATGGTCTTTACCATGAAAATCAAGTAGCGCCAATTTTCGTTATGATTTCGTAATCAGCGCGTCAAAATACGTAAGAATACTGAGTTTCAAAAAAATCGAGGTACTTTTCAGAACTATACCCGAATGTTTCTTGCCAAATAGCAATTTTTTTAAAACATACACAATATACAAATCTTTAGCAATATATCTACCTGGTCCAATAAATCGTGTACAGTACAGTCCTCATTCGGTATATCGAACGTAATTAATCTTTGTTCTCCAGTAGCCAACATTACTAACATTTTCGCCGTATTCCCCTGAATTTGATGCTGGACTATAGTATTTTCTGGATCACTGATAGTTTTTTGGAGATAAGCGACGCTCTCGGTCGAACTGTTGTCATGTTCTACTGAAAGAGGCGGTGAAAGAGGTACCATTGGAATTTGTCCGTGAAGTTGTCCCGTTGGATAACTTTTCTCCTGCACACATTCTGGGGTATCAATGTCCATAGGAATAGTATTGTGCGTATTATGTATAGTCGGAGAAACAGACATTGCCATAGGTAGCTTTTGCATTTGTTGTCCTTGCGGACTGGGTGAAGCTTGCCGCGCTTTTGGTTGCGTAGTATTTGGGGTTATTGAGCTACGCGCCGAATTTTTTAGCGAACTTAACGAAGTTTGAACAGAAGTCTGTAAAGTATTAGGAAGCAATCGTTGTACGTTATTTTGTTGCAACTTTTGCTGGTCGCTTTGCAACTGCTGCTTTAATAGCATTTGCTTTATTTTGGCTTGCTTGATCTGTTCGCTTAAATGTACCATCTCCGGACCCTGTGCCTTCAATGGTGTCTTTGACATCTCAGGTATAACCATAGCTACTGGCCGTACGTGTGATGTATTGTGTGACGCATTCGGATTGGAAGCACGAATCGATTTTATTGGTACATTCTGTCCCACTGGATTAACAGCTTTACCACAGACAGATGACACAGGTTTAGAACTTGCAACATTCGAATTTTGAAGTCGATTTTCCATGGTAGTTAGTTTCACATTTACGCCATCTGGAGTTTGAGATGCTGCAGCCGTTTGTCCACTGTTTGTCAATTGTCGATTTTTATTTTGTATGATTCTCAATACTTTACTGTCTGTTAATCCACATTTAAGTGAACCAGAATTTACATATATGGGAGACTAAAAGCAAACATTGTTCGATTATGTTATATACACATACACATGTACATTATTACATACGCACATACGTACACATGTATATATATGTAAAGTACATAAATTTAATTTTTTGCTAAAATATAACTAAATTTAATATTCACTCACTATTGGTGTGATGTTATTCTGAGCTGTACTTTTTGTTACAATAATAGTCTGATTCTTTTCCTGTAACAACGTATTTTGTTTTGTCGCCGTGGTAGTACTAGCATCTTGGACTTTTATCCATTGTATTTGTCGTCCTTCCGTTTTATTTTCTGTTTTAGCACCTGAAAAAAGGAGTTTATTTGTTATATTGAAAAAAGAATATCAAAAACCAATGTTATCTGTGTATTTCTTAAACATAATAAAATTTAATTAGCACTCTTAATAAAGTATAGTATGAATATAGTATAATACAATATATTTAATATAGTATAGTATCTAAATATTCGTAAAGTATATGAATATAGTATATTTAAATTCATACGCGCGCGCGTATCGATATTTACCTGTATTGTCGACAACGCTCGGAATATTTTCACTAACTACACGTGAACTCACTGTATTAGATTTCAATAATTCCTGGGTTTCAGCTATGCTATTCGTTTTGATTATATAAACGCTTGGCCTGGAAAGTAAGAAACAGATTACAATAAATACAATTATACTATCACATTGCTAATGTATTTTATTATAAAATGTATTTTATAAATAAAATGTATATTTGCGATATCAATAAGCATATATTTAAAGTGTTACAGTCTTGTTCAAATATGCTTCATCAATTAATGAAAAACTTTTTATTCTACATTTATGGAATGTTTTTATGTTCTTGTATATGTATGTACTAAATGAAAATTTATGAAATATTTTCTAAGAAGTAATTTTTGTTAAGATTACATATGAATATAATAATTACTCAGAAATTGTTTTGCTTTGTATAATAATGAGACTGGAATAATTAAGATGAATAATTAGATAAAGATGTAATGAGGAAGAGGGTGCATTGGTATATTTTAAAAGCTTCATTATTATCTGGGTGCGAGACATAACTTTATATTACAAGGAGTAGTTTGATAGAAGTCTTAAAAAATAATAAAATAAGCTGTGCATTGTGTTAATATTTTTAAGAAAAAATTTAAATTTGCTGATTCTTTCTTAGATGTATTCTCTAATTTAGAAAATCATTAACTTATTATTATCATTAACTTAATATTACTAATTTTAATTTCTCAGATATATACAAAATTTTTTAGTGTAAATAATATAATAGATACAAAATAAAACAAGTTAATAATGAAACATGCTTGTGCAATGCACATAGTAAAACATAATACTTCGAATATACATATTGCAAAACACAAAATTTTTTCTTAATGTGATGTAGTACAAAAGATTTCTCATAGGCCACACATGTTAAAAGACAATTATATTTAAATTGCATATAATACATTATCCTAATATCATTTACAAATATATTTTCTAGTTCTCATTTTTAAATAATCTACAAAGATTAAGTTTTATTAAAGTTTCATTGCTATATATTCCAAAATTAATTAAAAATTAATTAAATTTTCTACGCAATATAATCAACATATTAATATGATAGGTTTATGATAAAAATTGTTTAATAATACTTTCTTTGAGGCACACGCGTACAAGCGATTATAAATAAAACCTACTCCAAAATATTTAAATAAAACTTTAATATTTTCACACCACTTGCATATTATTACTGTGTGTTCTATTATCCTATAAACACAACATTGCAATGTCTAGTATTGTGAAATCATTATTCACAAATTTACCTATGATAATGTCTTATTATTTTTTGTACTGTAATATACAAATTTTAATTAAAGATTTTAATTAAATGTAGGTATCTATTAAATTAAAATATGGTATCTTCATATGTATACATTGAGAAAAAAATACTTAAAAATTTATTTGTGAGATATAAAATTTATTTCTACAAATAAACTTTATATCTCACAAACAAATTTTTAAATATTTTTTCTCAATATATACAGAAGATGGTTAGATGGATAGAAGACTACTTTAAGAAGCACCTGATATATGTTAATCTCTTCCATATTGTGTTAATATAAAATAACTTTATTATAAAAATTAGACCGTTTATATATTCGAATTATAATGTCAAATTTGTACACCTTTATAAAATATTCATAAAGTATATGTTTCTGCATATTTAAAAACCAAGACAATTTTTAATCAGAATGTATGGCCCATTGTACTTTAAGATCAAAATGTTATGCTCTACAAAACTGAAATATTTGCATCAAAATATTTATTTTACAAACATCTAGTTTAAATATTTCTCACAACCAGTGTCACATACCAACGCCCCACCTACTTCTTCTGAATAAATACTATACTTGCATATAAGCTTGAATAAATTTTTCAATTAAATTCTGTATTTTGTATATACTAAGAAAAGGGGATACAAAACTGTTACTTTACTATTTAGACACATATGGCTAATTGAAAATGCATGCTACATGAATTACCCTTGTTCCAATCGTGTTGTAGGTATTTGATTTCCTAAATTAATAGTTTGCGGTGAAAATCTTGCTTGCTCGCTGTTTTGTGGTGTAGCTGTATAAGTTAAAATCTGTTGTGAACCGCTGTCATCAACATCCTCAACAACTAACTGAACTCGTTGCCCGTCTACGCAGATTGTATTGGCGTTGGCCACAAGATTATAATATTGTGCCATATTATTCAAGACTTAATCGTTTGCAAAGTTGATCTTTTCTTAATTAATAAAGATCAAGATAGGATTGCTGCTAATATAATGAGTTAGACCAATCCATCAGTACCATCTCTGTAGAAGGATGCACTTAGTATTTGTGCGACACAACCTATTAAAAACAACCACGAGTTATATAGAAGACTTTTATGTCAATTTATGTTAATTTTTAATACAATTTATGTTAATTTTTAATACAATTTAATAAAATGTAAAAGAGAAGTGAATATTAAAATAATAAAATTTGTGAATAAATTAAAAGATAATTGAAAGCAAAAATGTATGTAGATTTTATGGTTAATATGTAAATTATGCAATGTTGTATAATAAGGTAAATTATAAACATACATATTTTGCAATTTACTTATATAGAAATTTATTTATGTATATATAAAAGTTGTATGCGTAGCTGAAACCTGATGATATTTAATACAAATTATTCAACTTTTAAAGTAGTCTCCTATAGAAATTATTCTATTCCACAATATTCTATGAACAAATTCTATTAATTATAATTTCGTACTATGTTGCAGAAATATATATGTGCTTTTTATCTCTAGAATTGATAAATACAATTTCTTAAAAATTGTTTTTCATTTAAAAAAACCAAAGTTTTGTACAACATGTGCTTCAAAGACTTTGTACCTTAATTAAATGGGGACTTATCACACAGATAAACATGTTATGTGTATATGATTTAGATGAGTAATAAAATATATATCATGAAATAAATATTTTGTGTAACAGTGTACAACAACTGTAATGGAGATAAACAGGTATAAACATTCAAAATTGTAATTTTATGTATACAAAATATCTAATTATTATTGTAACTAATACTATAATTATTAAAAACACATGTGTTTATAATTATTATAAATACATTTTTTGATACCATCTATGCATTTTATAAAAATTTAGTTTGTTATATTTACTTGTACTTTTAGGTATATACATAATATGACATATAACAGCAGAAATTATATCACGAGTTACGTTCTAATAAATTTTAGAGGTACGTATCTCGTGGTAAATTTGAATGCAAATATAATTCCTGAGAAACTTTATATTTGTCTAGTAAATTACCAACCAACACAAAATTATTTTACTGTGATGAAAATTTAAAAGTTTTTAATAAAATAATATAGATACAATAATATATTAACATAGATTCATATATCATATGTCCACATATATAAATTACTAAAGCTTCAACTAAAAAGAGCTTATATCTAACAAATAGTAATCAAATTAAACACTGAATAGTTATCAAATTAAACCTTTTAATTATTTTTGGATGAAATCAATGGTGCAATTAAATTTTAATTTTAATTAAATGATGATATGATTAAATATTCATTACATTATTAATGTGATCCCTTTCTTTCTCTCCCTCATACACCATACACACACACGTACATACATACCCACCAATAGATTGTTTACAGTCCAAATATTTTCATATACAAAATGTAAACATTTAAAACCAGAATATCTCATCACTCTACCATTAATGCATTATTGTATCTTTGTAGAACATATGTATGATATTTTCATCTATCCTGAGATCTAATTACAGAAAATTAGCACGAATTAATCAACTTTACAAAGAAACTTACCAGTGAAATGGTTTAGCAATGATAAATATTAACGCAAGATGCTCGATTTTCGGGGAATTTAACACAAAACACTTAACTTTATCCCAAAACGCAAGTAATAAAAGAAAAACGATACCACCCCGTAGTCGGATTCGGTTTGACTGGCAATGAATATTCTCACAATGTATTATGAACGTCAGGACCGCTCAAAACTCACACAATTCATAACCTAAAAATGGAGGAACAAAGATAGTCGTAACCGCGTCTACTTGTCTCTCCAACGTGACAATTGTTACGATGGCCGGTTAAATCTCTCAATCAGGTATGCGGAATGAACTACGGAAAACGAGACTCCCGTAATATCTTTACGTGTGAACTACGGATCAGCCCCGGTGGAAAAGATCCAGTTTCTAAGACTCATAACCTCGTTGCGTGGATTATGGGATTAATCAGGGCGATGGTAGTCCACCGACATCGAGACTTTATCTCCTGACTATGTACTGCACGACGAATGTGATAGAGAAATTCGTGATAGAAAGAACGCACGGCGATTTCTCGAGATACAGATATACGAGACAATACACTACGACAACGGGCAGGCCGATCACTAGCACGCGCTGGCAAAGCGTACAGTTTTAATTCGAACGAATCAACGACAGCGATACTTACGATTGCCTGCGTCCGTGTTGTGCAAGCGCACTACCACTCGTGTAAGTGACGGCCGTGCGTCTTAGTCTGTCCACTTCTCGCTTTTACTTTGTTACTTGCTCCACCAGTAAATAACAACTGTAATTCGCCATTTTACGTATCCATTTAGCCGTACAAATCGCGCTTCTGCCGACGACGAACAGACGGACGACGAGCGAATTGCACGGGAGATGTCACGCCACTGCGCCGCGTTCTGCGTCGACTTCCGGCGTTGCGGCGCCATTCGACCGCGAAATTCGATCTCACGTTACTGACCGACTATTATTTTTACAATGCCACCGATGCAATCCTACTGTTGCTAGTGTAACGTCCGGATCTATTTTAGAACATTAACAATATATTATTATAGACCGGGAGGCCGACTTATCTGATTTCAGACATCACTAGACATTTTATCCTTATGTTACTAGATGTAAGTACATGCGCATATGTATATTCGCGAGCGTTAAAACATTATAATTAAAATGCCGAATAATGCGTGCTGCTGGAGAGTCTTGAAATCGACGGATCGACCTAAAAAAACCGTTATCGCTCAGTGCGATAAGCTAACATAAACAGGAGTATGAAAGCCGAATCCCAAACACCACTCAGGACACCGACGCGGTGACATCATGCAAAGGAATGAATCTCTTCCCTCGCCATAACTCCATGAACCAATCGGAGAACGACTCTCAGCGACATATAAAAACGCGCGCATTTGTAGAGAAGGCAATTATTCTCTTCTCATAATTAGTCTCTGGTAGCTTTCGTGTACCTATTCAGAATATTATAATTAGTCGTAAAATCCGACTGTGTTGCAATTACTTTTGCCTACCCTTCCTATTTCAAACATTGCGAAATCAAAATTCTGAATCGCGGGCCGCATCAACCCGCGTAGTGTCGGAACATCCGAGGCCGAGCCAGGAGAACAAGCACCGCTGATTTTTCGCCAGATTCATCAATCGTTTCGCCAGACTCCGGAGACCCAGGGTAAACTCGGTGAAAAGCAGAGTGACCCAAAAGCGGAGTCATTACTCTGTTGACCGTCCACGTAAGTCACTGATTTCACTACTTTCAAATTTCCCTATATAGTTATCTATCGTGGACGTAACACTAGTAAGCTGGTGCCGCGGCGTGCTGTCGGTTAATTAAGACTCGACCAATCGGTGCAAAGCGGGCCAACATTGAATTTATTTTTTAATCTTTGTTCGCAATATTAGCCAATGTTGCGTCGGATCTCAGTCACGTGATGGATTTTCGGTCATAGTGTAAAAATAACGAAATTGCGCTTAAATCTTGAATATTCGAAATTGGCGTTGCGACCGAGCTACGAAATTAAATATGAAAGGATTTTCTGTCGCAATCTCATCTTGTGAAGGTGAATTTCGCGTGCGGATTATTATCGCCGGAAACGCTGAAAATAGTTTGTCATAGAAAATAATTGCTAGATAACCGTTGGAAATTGCTATCTTACGGAACAATCCGCCAGTAATTTATTTAACATTGGCTGCGCTCAGCAGAGAAAGCTGCTTTGCAATTGTTGTAAAATTCGTGAATCTGATTGGTACATGCTCTTGGATTCAACCAAAATTAAGAGCATACTCCAATCAGATTCACGAATTTTACACAGTTGCAAAGCAGTTTTCTTTTCTGAACGCAGCCAATGTCTCTCGAAACTGTTATGGCTCCTGCACACAGGACGCGATAATGCTTGCCGCGCGGCGGAAGTCCGCACGACAGCCAATCAATATGTAGTTTTTCCGTAAGAGCTAGAAGGTTATTACGGAAAGCAGCATATTGATATATATATATATATATATATATATATATATATATATATATATATATATATGTGTGTGTGTGTATGCTTTTTCTTTTTATTTGAAAATTAAGTATATGGTGAGTATGCGTCTGTAAACGTAAGTGACAGTGTGTGTATTGAATACAAGAATCCCTTTTAATTATACTTCGCCATATTCTTAATTCAGATTCTTATTCTGAACTATTTTATTGATAACGATGTCTCTAAATTGACTCATAAGCCTTTCCATTAGCTTATAAGCCAATTTAGAAATACTTCTATCAATAAAATAGTTTAGAATAAGAATCAATCAAGAATATGGGGAAGTACAATGCAATTAAAATATATACAGATATAATTAAAAAAAACAAGCAGATTTCTTGTATACATGTTATAGAGTCATAAATGACTGGCTATTCCTTAAATTGCAAGTCAACAATTTTTTACTGTATACTTATATATGTGTAAGATTGATTGTATAAGTAAACTAATTATAATGGTCAAACAAATATGATACTGAATGTATGATTTTCAGTCCTTATGCATACAAGTATAAGGTTGAAAATTGTATATTTTTGCTTTAGGAAATGACCATCCATTTATGTTTATATACACAATCGATTAAAGTTTTACAGGTTTTACATAGCTCTGTTTGTACAAACAATACATTCATGAGTAACTATAAAATTAATGAAACAGATACATTTGAGAAAGTATTTTGAAATATAAATTATTTATATTTTATCTGTGCATTATTCTCAAATTTTTTTCGAATGGAGCGAATCTTGCAATGTAATTTGTTTCTATTTTATCACTCCGGATATAGCAAAATTATATTTTGTTTTTATCACTCTGGATATAATAAAATTATAAATAGTAAAGATATAAAAACAGGACATATATTTTCATTTACACTGAATCAAATACTACATCATAGTTACTTAGTTCGGGAACATCTGTACTCGTATTTTTCGATTGATTACTAGCATTTATCGCATTACTATTTAATAAAGGAGTTATCCAATGCCTACTACGCTGTAATATGCAAGATTCGAAGGGAAAGAAATTGGAAAGTAAGAGTTCCTGTTCTCCAAAAACTGGTAGTTGTTTGCGCGCATTGTCTTCAATTATAGCGTCGCAATAGGCGAGTTGATACATTTTTGTGATATTGGAAAACTTTCGTACTATTTCGCTGTCGCAAACCACCAAGGGATTCAGTTTACACGATATGATCCTGGGTATATCGAGTTGTTGGACAAACAGTATATCTGGCAAAAAATAACACGTTCTTATTTCGTAAATATCATTTTAAAATATTTTACAAAATTCGTGCATATAATAAGTTCATACTTACCATATCTTGTCTTGATGAGTTCTTCGTGTTTTGCAATAAACAAATAAAAAAACGCTTGACAAACAGAGTAAAATATATTGTGCAGTTTCAAGTCGACATAGCTATTTGAAGTTTCGTCCGTACCGATATACTCGTGTATCCAATCTGCAAGTCGGCAAATTGTCGACTTCAGGGTTCTGAAAGAAGGTAGCAATACGAGTATTAGATATATGTAGTAAGCTGTTCGTAAATTTGTTTACGTTAATATATTGAAAGTTTCATACTTACTCAGGAGTAATATATGAAGCAGAAGCAACTAAACTGGAAATATAAGAAGCCGCTGATTGCCGTATAACCGGTGCTTCGTTCCAGTCGACCATTTTTTTCCACAAATAGTCTATAAATGCTGTGATTACGTGTTTAATGCTACAAAAGTATAATCCGATATACTGCACATATTGAGTGCGATCTATACGTAATAGTACTTTATCGAATGCTGTGAGAATATCATGGTATAATATCTTTAAATTTTGTTTATTCAAATTAACATGATTTATGAAGCAAAACTTGTGGATAAATCCCAAAAATATGTCCATACACGCATCTAGTGTGTGCTCTATTAATTGGACATGCTCTGCTTTATCTGCATCATTATTTACCGTAGCCGCGTTGTCATTATCAGCATCTAGTACATCGTATAATTCTTCACAATCTTTTTTGTTTTTCGTTATATTAACGTCTAATGAAGATAGACTAAAACACAAGAAAAATTATTATTCTATTACCAGAAAAAATCTCTCAAGCTGTTTTTGGTTATATTTAGAAATTAGGTTTAGGACTCACCCATTAATTACTATGGATAAAATATCTGATCTTAGATAAGGTGCATAATATAGTATATTCAATAATGCATGTATATAAACTTCATGTATATATGTGCTATGGGTAATATATGGATATTGCGATTCAATGCTATATAGCAAACACTTTCTCGACCTGCAAAAATTCATATCAAAACATGCTCACAAGTATACACTTGATGACGACAGATTTCTATATACATTCATTATATCTTACATTGGTACCACATTCAAAATCTTGCTCAATATTTCATGAATATGGTTCAATCGTTCTGTATCTTGAAGTGTAAGCTCTTTAGCCTTATGTTCTTGATTATCTTCAACAACTGAGATCAAGATTGCAGTAAATATGGTAACATATAGTATATTACACAATATATTATAAACTTTGAAATAATATTATTAATGTAAATTTACCTGGTTTAAATAATTTAACTAGATGATCAAATACAGTTCTTGCGTATTTGACTTGTGCACAGACTAGATCTTCTACAAAAGTTTTGTAGGTAGAAATTAGATCTGGTGATCTATCTAGCCACTTGATTTCAACAAGAGTCTGTACAAATATTGTATGTCCACAATCTAGTAAGGTTACATATTGCCTTGTTTCATCTAGAAAATTTACTAAATCATTGTCCTAGAGAACAAAAAGAAAATTTTGATTACATCATCTTATAATATGCAACTCATTAACTTTTACATACATATTGTGTAAAATACATATCATGTGCTAAAAGATTACAAAAGATTATCCACATATGAATCTCCTATAATTTTTGTTTACTTCACTTTCTTGTTCATTTCACTTTACCTTTATTGCACCTCCTCGAAGTGAACTTATCATGTTGTCATATTCTCTTTTTGTTTCAAATTTATAACCATAAAGTATATGTTTAAAATTTTTTGGAGGCCTATAGCATACTCTGTTGGGTTTATTAATAATTTGTGATGAAATATCCCTCCTTATTAGAGACGATAAATTAGTAACTCTTGATGATGCTACAGACATCTGTTTGATACAAAAGAATTATTAAGTTATACAGATTTCTTAACGACAAGTTTACCTCGCAAGATATTACTCAGAATTAATGGAAATTGAGAAAATTTAGCTGATATACATAAATATATGATCAAGTGATATCAAAGATCAATAATGATAAATTTATTTGTTAATGTGATATTTTAAATCAATGTTAATGCAAAAATTTTGTTGATTGATGCTGATGCAAATAGACCACGTCTATTTGCAAAATATTAAATTTTTATCAACAAAATAACCATACGTCTTGATTAAGATGATCACCGAAAAGAGGTTATGCATATGCTAGAATAAAAATATACTAAGTTACTCACTTTGATTAATATTTGTTCTTTCTGATGGTTATATGTACGCCCGTTGATATTTTGAACGCGTACTATATGTTAAAAATTTAGTTTGAGCAATTTTCCAAACAGTCCTATTCACAAGCCACACGTGTTCCATGAACCGCGATGTGAAATGAAGTCTCTCTCTCTCTCTTTTTCTCTCTCCCTCTTTCTTTCTCTCTTTCTCTCTCTCTCTCTCTCTCTCAACATGTGGCTTCAGGCGACATTAGCCCCAACGCCATTCCTCAGTTAAATGATAAAATTAGTAGTGAATATTACAGAATGTACTTGAAATACTTCAGAGATATTTTCTAAAAAATCACAGATCACGTCTAAACAGACTCAAACATCTTACACTATCGCGGTTAGGCCGGAATTTATGACAGATGGAATGACTGAAGGAAAAGTAGAATTTTCTTAGTTGCACATGCGCGTAAACCTAACGACACGCATAGATAACGATTTTCTGACGTATAGCTACTAGAGCAAGTTCAATAGTTACCTACCCTGTTTTAACTAGAAGAATATTCAATATACAATATACAAAATTTGTAGCCATTTTCCAGCAAGGAACACATTTTATACAAAACTATTTTATTAGCTGGTTATTTCAAAAGATATCTTAAATAATGTATAGTTAATGTGTAACATCTTGTATAACTTTGCGCAATAACTTTGTGTTTCTTACTAGAAAACAATTCGTGTCATTGGTTGTATTTTGGAAACGCGCAATGGTTGAGTGAATGCTCACTCTCGTTGGAATATTCTTTTAGATCTATCATGGATCTAAAAGAATATGTTGTTTGTAGATATATACTTTTACGTTTCGTCACTTCCGAATCGAAAGTAAGAACTGAAGATCGATCAGTGAGTCTTTCGTCTAAAGCCCGTATCAGACTACCGACTGCACAGGCCGACTCGACTGCCGACTACGACTGCCGACTCTCAATGGACCAATCACAGTGAGGCGCCAAGTCGGCGCCTCACTGTGATTGGTCCATTGAGAGTCGGCAGTCGTAGTCGGCAGTCGGGTCGGCCTGTGCAGTCGGTAGTCTGATACGGGCTTTAGACGAAAGACTCACTGATCGATCTTCAGTTCTTACTTTCGATTCGGAAGTGACGAAACGTAAAAGTATATATCTACAAACAACATATTCTTTTAGATCCATGATAGATCTAAAAGAATATTCCAACGAGAGTGAGCATTCACTCAACCATTGCGCGTTTCCAAAATACAACCAATGACACGAATTGTTTTCTAGTAAGAAACACAAAGTTATTGCGCAAAGTTATACAAGATGTTACACATTAACTATACATTATTTAAGATATCTTTT